TAAATATAAATAATTTATTTTAAAAGTATAAACATGTTATTTGAAAATATGTAAAAACTAAAATAATTTCTTTTATTAATTTAAAAAATTCTTATTATGTAAATTTTAAAAAATCAGTAAGCAAGGATAGGTGCTATCTGGATTTTTTTTTAAAAAAAATTATATAATAGTAATTTTTTAAAATTAATAAAAAATAAAATTAATTTTTAAATATTATCAAATTATCAAATCAACAAAAAGATTAACGTTTTACTAATAGATGGAAGATACTTTTGTAAGTGAAATATGAATTTCAAAAATTAAGGAATGTATTTAAAATTTTAATTAAAATTTAAGAGTAATGCTATTTTACTTAAAATATAAATATTTTTTAAGTGTGAAATACAAATAATAGTTCAATTGTGGATTTAGTTGGATGGTTAGATTCGACTATCTCGGACCAAAGAAGAAAAGGAGTTTGGGCTGACTAGCTGAGGCCCATGAATATTGTGCAGCGTGGAGCAGAAATGGAGGAGAAATATTTCAGTCTTCACCATCACCACTTAGCAGTTGTATTTTACTCCAGTTTTTGTGTCTTTCTCTAGTTGTTCGCAGCTCCAACACGTTTTAAGGTTAGATTCTCTCTCTGTCTCTCTTCTCATATTCATTCTCTCTGATTAAATAAAAAAAATATTCAGATTTCCCACTGCTAAAAGAAGAAACTTCTTACTTCGATATTTATCTAGCAATCAAGCCAGCTGCAATTTCTTTCAATAAATAGTAATATGATTTCTCTTCATAGAGATTGCTTGAGGAATTTCTACCATAAAACAAAGATTTTTATTTCTACGAACCCTTTTCACAATATCCCTTGTTACTCTGTTCGTTCTTCTTATCTGAACACCTTTATCAAAGACTTTAAGCCTAAAGAAAGCCTTTTAGGCTTTACCCAAATTGACCCATTGTCCGTTATATCTCCCACTGCAAATTTACACCCATTTTGTTATAATTCTTTCTCTTGTTTTTACTCAACTAGAGCCCCATCTAGATCATTTAGAAGAAGAATTAATAAGAGATTAAAAGCTAGTAGTAAACCTGTTCTTGATCAAGCAAAATTTGAGAAGGCGGTTTCCCAGCTCCTGCCTAGGTTCACTGCTGACGAGCTATGTAATGTGATAACTCTAGAAGAAGATCCTTTAGTATGTTGGGAGCTATTTAATTGGGCGGTGCAGCAGCCTAGGTTTAGGCATGATGTTTCCACTTATCATATTACCATAAAGAAGCTTGGTCTAGCAAAAATGTATGAAGAAATGGATGTTGTTGTTAACCAAGTGCTTGCCCTTCGTTCATTTGGTTCTGAGCCCCTTTATAATACCATCATATACTTTTTTACAGAAGCTAGGAAGTTGACTAGAGCTGTGAATATTTTTAAGCATATGAGGAACAATAGAAAGTTGGATTGCAAGCCGTCTATTAGAACATATAACATTCTTTTCACAGCAATGTTGAGTAGGGGAAGAGATTCCTATATAAACCATATGTACATGGAGACTATTAGGTGTCTGTTCAGGCAAATGGTCAATGATGGGATTGAGCCTGATGTTTTCTCATTGAATTCTATGATAAAGGGATATGTGCTTTCACTTCATGTTAATGATGCTCTACGAGTGTTTCACCAGATGGGTGTGGTCTATAAGTGTCTGCCTAATGCTTATTCCTATGATTATCTGATTTACGGGTTATGTGCACAAGGTAGAACCAATAATGCTAGGGAATTGTGCAACGAAATGAAGAAAAATGGGTTTATTCCTAGCAGTAAATCATATAACTCCCTTGTGAATGCTTTGGCACTTTCTGGAGAGGTTGAGGAAGCACTACATTACCTAAGAGAGATGATTGAGAAGAGAAAGTCTGCTGATTTCATAACATACAGAACAATCTTGGATGAGATCTGCAGAAGAGGAAGGGTTGAGGAGGCCACGGGATTGTTAAAAGAGTTGCAAGATAAAGATCTTGTTGATGGGCATACTTATAGGAAACTTCTATATGCAATGGAGGATGATTTTGGAAATTGAAATGCAGAAGCCTGATTAGGTATATCATACAGGATTGGTAATTTTTATGCATGATATTTTCTGTTTTAAATGCATAAATCATTATTTATTTGGTATTTATTTCAAAGCCAACCAGTAGAAATATGCACTTTTGGCCTAAGCGCAAATCTAGAAGTTCTTACCTGTGAGTAATTGGCAGCTTTTCCCGATGTTGCAATTATTTTCAGGTCATATGTATGATATAGATGATATATTGACAGTGAAAACTCAAAAGCATGCTTTTAATGATTTTTATACTTCTTTTGTTTGAACTTGTTTATTCAATTTAGATTTGCACTCGCCTTTCAAAAAAAAAAAAAAAAGATTTGCACTCTCATGAATCATGATGATGTTAGGGTTAAGCTAGATGAAAAGTACATCTATAAAATATCCATGGAAGAGCTCACTCTATCACGGAGTTCTTACTTAATAGTATTATTATTGGTTTTTGCTATTTTCCAGGATATTTGATTGGCTGAAAAAAGTTTATTTGATGAAACAACTTATAATTTATGTGGTCTAAGAGAGTTTTGGAATTTGTGCTTCTTCGGTGTTTGCAGTAATGTTGGCGTAAACAATCACTTTCCATGCAGTTTGACATTCAAATCATGTTTGAATTATGGAGAAAACCTTCCAATGAGTTGGAGGTTGCCACTGCCACTTGATATTTTTTTATGAAGGTACAACTTGGTACTTGATCAACATACAAGTTTTACTTGTGTACTATTTTTATTTCAAATTATTTAAATTTATAGATGTAAAATCTTGGCTGTGCCAGCAGTTAATAAGATAATAAGAGTCAAAGGAATGACTTTATTTTGAACTTCTTATGTGTCTTGTCATTATTTAGGGAATGATGGTGAAAATGGTATTCACATATATGAAGTTTTTACATAGTTATGGTCCCATAGAAGTGGATTATCTAATGGGGGACCTACATATATGATCCTACCTTTTTGGATTTTGTGAGCATATTCTTAGATGGTTGAGTCCTACATTCTGCACTATGTTAGGAGCAATTGTTGTTTCTCGTTTGCGAATTAGAAACTCTTTGATTGGGCTCTTGAATTAGTTTTCCATTTTCTGTTTTTACCTAAATGGCTTAATTGTTATATCACTATTTTCAGTTATTGAAAATGCATCCGTACTCCTTAGTCTTCAATAATTTACGCATCATTGTATCAAATATGAAGAAAGCTCTCTGACTAGCCTCCATCATATTCTATCATAACTTGTCGTACATCTTATTACATATGTTAACCACATTTTCTGCATTATGTGAAGAGCAATTGGATCATGTGCAAGGGACTATTGTTTGGCATTAGAATGGTCATTGAATGTTGCTAAAGGTGTTGATATATCAAACAGCATTCTTATTAGTATTATTTATTGAAAGTGCATTCTCATGTTCTTTCTTGTTGTTCTTAAATGCTTTTCCTTTTCTCTAAGATAAAAAGAAAAAAAAATTCTGCAGGGGTTTTTTATTAATCCGTATTGGGTCACCATTGATTATGTTCTAGATTGTAACTGAACTAAACACTCAGGTGAGAACTTGTGACTGGTAGCATCTGGAATCTATGAAGGTATCAAGCCATATAGTTATGTCAACAATGAGCTTTAGATATATAATCTGTAGGCTGGCTTTCCTTGCTGTTAATATGTTTGATTTTGGCCTTTTTTTACATAATCTGGTTATTGAGACAACATCCGCAAAGTTACTTAGTGTATGGATTCATTAAAGTAGTTATTCTTGCTTGGTCTTGGCTAAAAATAAGTTTGTAATGTGCCAATCTTGCAAAGGTAGGAGTTTCTGCATCCAGGATTCCTGCTGGTTTTTCAGTAAGGATCACCTTCTACTGTTAGCATCCTTTTTTGGAATGTGCCACTGGAATGTCAGGAGAGTCTGTGTTGGGCACTTGATGATGGACGGAGAGTTGTTTTCAGTTAGGATCGATGTTGATGCTTCTCTGGAAAGGGTGAATGTTGTTCAAATTGTGGACTGATATTCTGTTGGTCTCGTGGGTTTGTGTTCATTTTGTTTTGTCCCTAAGGTGTATGGCTTCAAGCAAGGAGATTCAGGATTTTTGTTGCTCTAATCAGATGTAAACGGAAGGTTCAGAGCGATGTGAGGAGCTGTTTTTGTCTTTTGAATAGGAGTATTGGGTGTGTATACTGTTACAGGTTAAGGGCATACCAACCAATATTCTTGTTGTTCGGCCTGGTTGCTCGCCATGGCTCTTGTAAAGGGGAAACCCAAATCCCCAGCATTTTAATGATATTCTTCCTTTAATTTTCAAAAAAAAAAAAAAAAAAAAAAGCTTGTAATGTGAAGGCTGGAAGGCACAATACTGGCTGGTATTGATTGAGTCAATGTCTAATTATTTTATCAAAAATTCTCCATTGATTATAATTTTGAATTGTTTCCAGAGAAAGATTATTCCTTTAACAGCATATTTGCCTTACTTATGGGCATCAATTAAAGATAAACAAGGGTACGAGGAAAGTCTAGAATATTAGTCTAACTCTTCTAGATCACAAGATGAAGGACAAGCAAACAGAGATTTCATAACATTCACATCTGTTATGCGTAATGTTAGTTCGAAAGTGCAAACGAAATCATCAAAGCAGTACCATAATTCAAGCAGGCATTATAGTCCGTTAGAATAGGCTTCTTGCTCTGAACTCGTAGACTACAAAACTATCAGCATTTGAAACTCTATTAACATTCAAGAAGCAACAACATGGTTCTGACATGCCTAAACACCATAAAGAGCCACTCATTAATCGCAATTTGCAAGCATCAAAGTCGTTCTTCCTAATACAGAATCTTCATCAACCAGGATGATGTGAGTATGATACCTTACATAAAGCATGCATATCTTTGGCACGATATAAAATCCAATGAGAACCAGAAACAGCGATGACAAATTAACCATCAATTGATTTCATTCATTCTAAATTAACAAACAAAAATATTTCCTCAACTGTATAATGGAAAAGATTATCCAGAAATGATTACGCATTTTAACAGCGGGGCTAAGAATTGCCTCCAAACCAAAATCTTCCAGGCTGCCGTAAGAAACAACAACAACAACAAAAGTTGCTGCATTGCCCCAAATCAATCAATTATCCACTTCGTTTTTAATCTTCTTCTTCTTCTTCTTCTTCCTTGGCCCTGAAGAAGAATCATTGTCAATTCCCTCCTCAATCTCTCTACTCTTCCGTTTCTTCTTGTTCTCCCATTCACCTTCCTCAATTTTCACCCCATTTTGCTGAAACTTTTTAATTTTTTGGCCACTTTTCTCCTTCTTATGCTTCTTGTTCTCACTTGGTTCCTCAATTACCTTTTTTTCCTCATCTTCCTCAAAGTTACCAATCTCATTCTTCTCCTTCTTCCTCTTGCTCTCTCCATCCTCAATTACACTTTTGCCTTCACCATCCCCGACATCACCAACCTCACCCTTCTCTGTCTTCTTCTTGTTCTTATGCTTCTTTCCCTCACTACCCCCATACCCATGACCCGCCTCTTGACTCAGCTCCACAGCACCACGAGTCAGGTTGAATACACTCGGTTCTGGACTCGACTCGCCGGCACCTTCCACTGCGGTCTCAGACTTGGACTTCTTGTGCTTGCGATCCGATTTCGACTGCTTTCGGAGCTCCCTGTGCAACTGTTTGAGCTCGTGGAATGAAGCGGAGGCGCGTCGAAGGTATGCGCTGACGGCTTGCGACGCGCCGTTGTCTGTAGCGGCGAAGTTGGAGATGATTTTGGTTGCTTTGGAGACGGAAACCGGAGTTGAAGAGAGGATTTTGCCCGTTACCGTCTTCATCAGGTTTAGGGGTTTTGGAAGAATCGAAATCCCTAGGGTTTAACGTTTAATTGGTTTTAGGGTTTTGGGTTCGCATGTGACATGTCATGGATAAAAAGGTGACCCAAGATATTTGCCCCATCTTTTTATGTGTTCGTTTCTCCTGTCAGTTTACTTGTATAAGTATGTTCCAAACCTTTTATTGTGACAGCCCACATGGTGGCAAAGTATTTATAGTGCTAAGAGCCACCTTGCTTCCTTTGGCACCTAACCCCCTTCAAACCTGTGTGTGTATGAGCAAGCACAGTAAAGATGTAATCTGAATCGTGTCTGACCTAGAGGGGTGGCCTGGTCATAGATAATTAAGAATACCACACTGCAAGTTTTGATGCTGCAGTTTTTCATTTTTTTGTCAACAGCCCATGCTACATTTGAAATCCTTTAAAATCCCTTTATTCCCAAATGTCTTCGATTATATTTTTCCTTCTCAACCTCCATGGATTGGCTGACATAGTTTCATACTACAATGCTACGAAGGAAACAGTTTAACTTGAAAAGGGAAATTATGTCAAACAAACTTTTTTCCATCTGTTGAGTATATGCAGCAGTAATTGATGATACCTTACGTTGTGGCACTGGAAAGAAAGGTTTGATAAGTTGATATAGTTGATACATCCTTTTTTTTTTTAAGCAAAGCGAAGCTATCTTATAATCGACTGAAGCCTACAAAACAATAGATTTCCTGAGCTTCAATGGTTGTGAATTTCCAAAAGTTTTGCTCTATTCTGCTCATCAGCTCACTGTCACTTGTGCTTCAGAAATTATATATCTGTTGATTACAATGCAATGTTCCAGATAAAAATAATATTCTACTCCCTTCAAATTTTCGTCATACTTTAGTATTTTCCATTCATTGGTATGCTTCACCATGGTGGTATAATTGTGTGCTTTTGCCAGATATATTTGGCTTGGAGATGGTGAGGACTATATATCACCTTTTGCAGAGGTGTACCCCTAGAGGGGGCAGGGAGGCAGGTCAGGTTGCTGGACTGTTGTCGTTTAAGCCTGCTGAGATGTATGCAGCCACTGAAACAAAGGGGGAGGTGATCCATCTCAATATATTTTGGTTGTCATTGTGCATTACAGGAATGGGCTGCCTGTCATGCACCCGCTTTTAATTATAAAATTGGTGGAAGGCATAATCCTGCTTTTGGAATGATTCTATTATCAGTTGTGTCTAAATTGCTAGCATTATCTTGGAGAAGTGATATGGTTTCAAATTTTAACCAGACATGTCCTTACATGGCACCCATGAATACATGAAAAGTGATGCTTCATGTGCTTTTACTTAAGGCTTTGTTTACTTGTTATCTTTATTAATTGCAAATATAAAAAATTTGGGTTTGAAACTTTGAATGCAAAAAAATAAAAAAAAATAAAAAAAATGAAGAATTGAAATTAAGAATGAGTGAAATAAATTGGGCAAACCTAACTTCTTTTTTTCTTTTGAAGGTGCAAACTTTAAAGTTATGTATGTATAAAAAAGAAATAACACAGTAATAGTTCTAAAAATCATATTTTCAATAACATAAACTAATACTTGAATAAAACCAAAAAAATTATTAAGTACATAATAAAAAATAAATTGCATTTAATTATTTATTAAATAAATAAATTACATATTCTTTTTTTAAAAATAATGTTCCAACAATTTCGATAATCAATGGAGGGTTATTTTAGAAATTTCAAGGGAAATAGAAAAAGAACATGCCATGCCAACAACATAATGTGCACATCCAACGTGGCAACTTTTATCCATAACCGTTAGATGGTGGACCCCTGAAATCCAACGGCCAGAAGAGAAACCCTAAACTCAAAAACGGAACCATGTGGGCAAAAACTCGCTTTAAAGCCACAGCTCTTCCTCCGGTCTGTGTTCCTCGTCGTCTCTTTCGATCAATCTCCAAGGCGGCTCTTCTTAGTCTCTTCGTTTCTTTCTACAAGGTTCAAATCCTTTTCCTTCTTCATTACTTTATCAATCTTATTCCTTTTGTAAGTTCTGGTTTCTTTTTCTTTGTTTTTAAAATAAGTTGTGTAGATCTGGTAGTTTGTGAAACCAATGCTATGTTCAAATCTTTTCAATTCAGACATCTCAGTCTTACTTAATTTTATTTTGGGTTACTGTTTTTCTCAGTTATTGTTATGTTATTCTTATGGAAATTGTCTTTTACTTATGTTTTAGTAACCCTTTGCTTTGCTTTTCTTAGGTTTGTTTCCCAGTGAATCAGAATGGGTAAGGAAAAGGTTCACATTAACATCGTGGTCATCGGCCACGTCGACTCTGGTAAGTCGACCACCACCGGTCACTTGATCTACAAGCTCGGTGGTATCGACAAGCGTGTGATCGAGAGGTTCGAGAAGGAAGCTGCTGAGATGAACAAGAGGTCGTTCAAGTATGCTTGGGTGCTTGACAAGCTCAAGGCCGAGCGTGAGCGTGGTATTACCATCGATATCGCCTTGTGGAAGTTCGAGACCACCAAGTACTACTGCACTGTGATCGATGCTCCTGGACATCGTGACTTTATCAAGAACATGATCACTGGTACCTCACAGGCTGATTGTGCTGTCTTGATTATTGATTCCACCACTGGTGGTTTCGAGGCTGGTACTAAGGACGGTCAGACTCGTGAGCACGCTTTGCTTGCCTTTACCCTTGGTGTCAAGCAAATGATATGCTGCTGCAACAAGGTTAGATTTATAGCTAGCCTATTGTTACCATTTGATTGCTTCAATTATACATTACACTTATTTTTGTTTATTTAATACGATGTAGATGGATGCCACTACCCCTAAGTACTCCAAGGCTAGGTATGATGAAATTGTGAAGGAAGTCTCTTCTTACTTGAAGAAGGTGGGTTACAACCCAGATAAAATTCCATTTGTTCCCATTTCTGGTTTCGAGGGTGACAACATGATTGAGAGGTCTACCAACCTTGACTGGTACAAGGGCCCTACTCTTCTTGACGCTCTTGATCAGATCAATGAGCCCAAGAGGCCCTCCGACAAGCCCCTCCGTCTCCCACTTCAGGATGTGTACAAGATCGGTGGTATTGGAACTGTCCCAGTCGTCGTGTTGAGACTGGTATGTTGAAGCCTGGTATGGTTGTGACCTTTGGTCCTTCTGGTCTGACCACTGAAGTTAAGTCTGTTGAGATGCACCACGAAGCTCTCCAGGAGGCTCTCCCTGGTGACAATGTAGGGTTCAATGTGAAGAATGTTGCTGTTAAGGATCTCAAGCGTGGTTTCGTTGCTTCTAACTCCAAGGATGATCCTGCCAAGGAAGCTGCCAGCTTCACCTCTCAGGTCATCATCATGAACCACCCCGGCCAGATTGGTAATGGTTATGCCCCGGTCCTGGACTGTCACACCTCCCACATTGCTGTCAAGTTTGCTGAGTTGCTGACCAAGATTGACAGGCGATCTGGCAAGGAGCTTGAGAAGGAACCCAAGTCTTGAAGAATGGTGATGCCGGTATGGTGAAGATGGTCCAACCAAGCCCATGGTTGTGGAGACTTTCTCTGAGTATCCGCCTCTGGGACGTTTTGCTGTGAGGGACATGCGGCAGACTGTGGCTGTTGGTGTTATAAGAATGTTGAGAAGAAGGATCCAACAGGTGCCAAGGTCACCAAGTCCGCAGCTAAGAAGGGTGGAAAGTGAACAATGCAGCAGCTATATTCTCTTGCCGATTGGGCGCAAGGAGTGTTCTATCCTGGTTATAGTTTAAAGAAACTGGTTAATCTCAGTCTTTCAAAAGTTTTGCATGTCGTTATATGTATTTTCTTGCCTTTGAATTTGAGTAGCAATTTTCAGAATTGGGTACTCGATAGGCGGTGGCATTCTTAGCTTTTTCGTTTTGCCTGTTTTGTGGAGGATTAAAAATTGAGATGCTTTGGTTTGCGGAACTATAATTAATATTTTGTTCTCTTTCTATGCCTGTTCGTGCCTGACGTTCTTGTTCTGTTTAGGGTTCTTTGAATCTCTGTTGAACTATCATTTTGTACGCTGATTTGGTTCTTCTGTCCGAATCTAATAAAATATGCATTACATTAATTGTTCAAAATACTAGGTGAAAAAATGATAGAAAGCCATTGTCTTTCTCTTGGGCTGTCATTCTAACTGTAACCAATTTTTACTTGTGGAAGATATCTCTAGTAAGCATGTAAAACATCAGTGGTTGACAAATCACCCTATACTTGATAGTTTTATGTTTTGAAGCAAACAATCCAAGTAAAAACAATTCTCTCGGCAATCGTTCTTGTGGAAGTTCGTCCAACCTTGCATTCAATGTCTCAATTTTGGAGGCTGTGCTTTAGAAAAAGATATCAGACAAAAAATTAAAACACTTCTACTGGTCAGGTTCTGACCCATGCTGCATTGAAAATGTAAGCTACCTCAAAGACGACACTGCCTATCTGAACTGTGAATTTATGTTCTGCACAATAATATACTCGCGCAGATTTGTCTCGTTTTTCTGTCACAATAAAACTCATCATCTGAA